TAATTTCAGTTTAGTCTCTCAAAAGGTCTGGGAGGCAGGTAGGTCAGATCTTATTATCTGAAATTTACACAACAGAAAAATAAGACAGAAAACAACTGAGTGATTATTCTGAGGTTACCCATAGACTTAGTGATAACGTCAGGTTTCAGATGTATGTCTCTTTCCTCCAGAGCTTTTTCCTGTAGTCTACACACATAATTTTAGTAGTCCTTTGTTGTTGTTGTTAGTTGTCATTGAGTCAGTTCCAACTCATAGCTATCTTATGAACAATAGACTGAAACACTGCCCAGTCCTGTGCCATTCTCATAATAATAGTTGTTATGTTTGAGACCATCATTGCTGCCACTGTGCCAATTCATCTCATTGGGGTTTTCTCTAGTTTTCACTGTCCCTCTACTTTCCCAAGCCGATGTCCTTCTCTGGGGAGTGGTCACTGAAGGCACTGACAAAAAATAAGTTTCCAGGAATTGATGGAAATGCAAATTGAAATCTTTCAACAAACTGAGGCAGCACTGGAGGCACTGACTCATCTATGCCAAGAAATTTAGAATACAGCTACCTGACCAACTGATTGGAAGAGATCCATAATGTGGAAATCACCAGACAATATCAATAGTATCACATGCAAGTCTATTTTTTCTAAAGATAATTTAAAAACAGCTGCCACAGTACATTGACTGGATATGCTGGCGGTTCAGACCAGATACAGATGGGCATGTGGAATGAGAGATATAATTGCTGACATAAGATATTTTTTGGCTGAAAGTAAAGAATACCAGAAAGATACTTTATTGACTATGCAATGGCTTTCAATTGTGTGCATTACGACAAGCTATAGAAACCATTGCAGAGAATGAGTATCCCAGAACACTAGATTGTGCTCATGAGGAAGCTGTACATAGACCAAGAAGCCGTCATTCAAACAGAATAAGGGGACACGAAATGGTTTAAAATCAGGAAAGGTGTTTCACCATACTTATTCAATCTGTATGCTGAGAAACTGGATTATATGATTATATGATTATTAGGATTGGAAGAAGATTCATTAACAACCTGTGATATGCAGATGATACAACCTTTCTTGCTGAAAGCAAAGAGGACTTAAAATACTTATTGATGAAGATCAAAGACCGCAGTCTCCGATACGTGTTGCATCTCAATGTAAAGAAGACAAAAATCCTCACAACTGGACCAATAAATAACATCAAGATAAATGGAGAAAAGATTGAAGTTTTTTTCCAGATCAACCATCAGTACTCATGGAATCAAATGATGTATTGCATTAGACAAATCTTCTGCACAAAACCTCTTTAAAATGTTCAATAGCAAAGGTGTCAGCTTGAGGACTAAGGTGTGCCTGACCCAAACCATAGTATTTTCAGTAGCCTCATATGCATGTTATGATGTTGGAGGACAGTACTGGAGGTACCATGGACTGCTAGAACAAACAAATCTGTATTGGAATAAGTATAGTTAGAATGCTCCTTAGAAGCCAGGATGGCCAGACTTCGTCTCTCATACTTTGGACATATTATCAGGAGGGTGTAGTCCCTGGAGAAGGGCATCATGCTTGGTAAAGTGGAGGCTCAGCAAAAAAAGAGGAAGAACCCCAACAAAATGGATTGGCACAGTGGTAGCAGTAATAGGCTCAAGCGTAGCAGTGATTATGAGATTGGCGCAGGCAGTGTTGTGCATAGGGCCACTATGGTTCCGTACCGACTCAATGGTACCTAACAACAACAATATGAGTTGAAATGGACTCAATGGCAGTGGGTTTAGTTATTTTTGCGAGGGGGAGGGTGGTGGAGGATGGGACTGAAATATGCTGAATTTTAACAAGTGACAATCTTTTTTTTTTTTTTTTTTAAAGCTTAAGGTCAAAGTAGGACAGAGCAAATAAATGCTATTATCATTTTTTAGTTGACACATCAGTTAGGAATCAGCAAGTTGAGATGTGGTTCTCCCAAATTTTCTGCCCTCTAAGGAATCGCAAAATAATAAACATAATTAAGATTGTATTTGCAGGTCAAAGTCTAAAGATAGAGAGTAGTTTCACATGTGAGTCATCTCAAAGAGTCAGCTAAAAGGGGGCCACCAAAACATGCAAACTATGGTTTTATTAAAAGAGAAGTCAGGTCAGCATCGTATAATGCAGATAGTTCAGAAGGTTGAAAGGAAAGAACTGACTTGGGCAGACTGTGAGAAAAGTGACTTGGTGGGACACAAAGCAGGCCAAAGTGTGTTGAGGAGGCAATAACAGTGAGGGTATGGAAGCAGAAAGTGGCAACCTTGTCTCCAGAAGGTTGACTGTGGAAGGAAGGGTGCAAAAGTCTGTTTGGTGGCAATGGGGGGAAAAGCTGCACAAGTAAGGGAGAAGAGACAGAACAGGGAAGAAAGAGGAGGAATGTCCTGTTGTTGGATATTCCTTTAAAAAAATTCACTGTCTGCATGTGGCTCCAGAGAAAAACACTTCCAAGTGGAAAGGCAACCTTAACCTTGCCCAGGTCAAGGCTGAGAAATCAGCATAAGATTTAGTAACACGTTAACTTTTGGGGACAATCACTGTGGGTATTTGTTTGTTTTTTGATCTGTCTACAAACCCACACACGCATAGATGAGCAGAGATGTCCTGGACCCTGTTTAAAAGCCTATTCTTCCCAAAGGCACATAATTAATTGATCAGCTTATCAATGAAGGATGCTCTTTCCTTCAGGTTTGTTTAGAAGTAGACACAATACTGCTAGTCATAAAACTTGTTGATTCTTGGCTTGGTCCTCTTAGTAGAGCAAGTGCAAAGCCATGCCAGGAACTCCAGATGACTGAAACATACACAAGTGCAGTGATACTCATACACGCCAGCTCGGAGCCAGGATGCAGCTGAGTCCAAGCAGGGGACATCCTCAAAAAACAGTTCTTCATTTGAAATAAGCTCCAGGGCAGTATTTCACAATGACTCCACACACCTAAAGCTCAGGCACACAGAGCAGTCTACACACACAGTCCCACTGTGTCCGCTGGCTTGTTTACTTTATTTACCATACCTCTAGGCAAGATCCACAAATTAGCCGCCTTGTAACCCTCCCAGAACCGTGTTCTCGGGACCTTCAGAAGAAAAAGTTAAAGAAACAAGAATGCACTGACCAGGAAACCAACATTTAAGCCCATTCAGCCATGCGGGCCGTCCACACTAATGGTTTTCACCTCCCATCGCCTAGGCTGGCTGGAGGGGCGGGGAATGGGGTAGTAAGGAGGAGGACCAAAGTGGGGGCCTTCCTGAATGAAACAATGTAACAATTGATGTTCGGCCTCGCCTTACTCCCACTCCCCAGCGATCCTATAGGCGCGATCCCAGTGACTCCCCTGCCCATTGCTCCGTTTTCTTGTCCATTACGTGCTATCTCTCCGCCTCTCCATTTTTTCCCCTTTTCTTTTTTTTTCCCTCTTCTCCTCCCCCCGCCCCCCACCTTTCCCCCCTTTTTCCAACTCCGTGTCATTTCCTCCTTGTGCTCGCTAGATGCCTGAGCGTCTCCAGCCCAGAGAGTAGGCGGAACAGGGCGGTCCGGTGTGGCGTAGAGCTGGAGGGCGATGGTGGCGGAGTTGCTGGGGGCGGAGGCAACGTAGCCCCCGCGTAAAAAAGCCTGCTGGCGCCTGAGCGGAACCAAGGATGGAGAACCGGCCTGGGTCTTTCCAGTACGTCCCAGTGCAGCTGCAAGGGGGGGCCCCCTGGGGCTTCACCCTCAAGGGGGGTCTGGAACACTGCGAGCCGCTCACAGTGTCTAAGGTAAGAGCTGGCGGCTCGGTCCCGGCACCCAACTTTGAATGGGCAAGAGGGTGTGAGGGCTGCCGCAGATCTGGGCCCTCAAACCAACTTTGAAACTTGGCCCAAGGTGGGAGTGAATGCCCCCAGAGGGGCAGGAGCTGCGCAGCAGGGTCTGAACAGCAGTTCAGGCTCAGACACCAATCACTAAGAGGGACTGAAACATGGGATGAGAGCATGGCTGGCTCCAGGCTAGAGCCCATCGCGCAGACACACTAGGGAGGGCGCTGAGGCAGTCTTTGCTCCCCCACGCCCGGGCGGCTGCTCTCTTCGTTTTGGGCTGGAGGAAATTTGAAAGGACCTCCTTGGAGGGCCATGCGCCCCTGCGGGACAGTGAGTAGCTCAGGGTACAAGCAACAGGACTTTGCAGATAGATCACTCACTGGCCCCTCCAGCGACTTGTGGGCCGTCCCGCTTGGGCAGGTTGCAGGGTGTGAGAGAGGAGATGAGTCCATGGTGACTTTTGTCAGTCTCACTTTCCATGGCTATCCGCCCGCCTCACATCCATTCAGCTCGCGGAGCGTTGATGTAGCTGGCCTTTCCCTTCCTTTGGAGTCCTGCCCCAGCGCTGGCGAGATTTCCTGCACGTTGAGGAGTGTAGAGAAAACTTGCGCCATGGAGCTCAGCTGTACTGTAGCTGCCTCTGCCAGGGTTTGTTTGTTTTAGGAGGCTGTGATCTACTGGAAGCCAAGTTACAACAGCAGACAGGGGAGAAGAGCTTTCCCAAGTGCTCAGGAACCCCACAAACGAACCGCCTAGGTAGGGGTGAGAATGGAGGGGGGTGGGGAACGGGATGGGGGCTGTTACTGGGAAGAGAAAGTTTGCAAGACGTCTCCCTCTGAGACACAAGATTGCCAGTGGAACGAACTTCACAAAATTTATCCTAATTTTTAGTTGTTTTTTATTTTTGTTTTTGCTATTTAATGCTCTCTGGTAGCGTAGTGGTTACGAATCGGGCTGCGAACCTTAAGGTCAGCGGTTCGAAACTGCCAGCCGCTCCGTGGGAGAAAGATGAGGCTTTCTACTCCCGTAAAGATTTACACCTTCGGAAACCCTGTACAGGGTCGCTATGGGTCGGAACCGACTCAACGGCACTTAACAACAACAGCATTTAATGCTCAAGTCTGAAAAGCCCTCCTTCAACCCACTCAAAGTTGTTGACGTGGGTTTAGGCTGGAGATAAGGAAGATGTGACTTCTCAGCAGGGAACAAATGTAACATTTTCTTCTTAAAAAAAAAAAAAAAAACCAAAAAACAACAACAAAAAAAACCCAAAAAAACTTTGGTCACCTCTCAACGGGTGTTCATCCTATGCCTATCATATACCCACCCCCACCCCCACCCCCAATAACCTGTGCTGCTTTCACTTTGCTTTGGAGCTGCTGGTAAACTTGTAGGGGTCTTCAGACCTTGAGGCTCACATTCTTAGTAACTCTGGGGTACCAGTCCAGGGGTGCACCAATCAACTTGAGTAGTTTGTGGTATGCTGAGACATTTAGGGAGGCTGGCATGGGATACCACAGATCTTTAACCTCCCCAAACACCAGTAACAGCTTAGATCTTTATCCAGCACACTCCTCTCCCATACGGGTCATGTATTCCTAAGGAATAGGAATATGTACTTCTGAGATTCCTTTGTCATCCACAGCCACACCCCATCTAAAGATACTCTATTTACCTTTAGTGTTCTCAACATAGATTTCTTTAGAGCTTAATAAACTTACTTTTTTTTTTTAAACTACTCTCAAACCCGTTTGGGGAGGGAATTCTGGCCTTCAGGAATTTATTTTAATCAAACCTGCCCTCTTTTACCCCCTCTTTCCACCAAGGTTATGCAGCCCTCTGCTGTGTGGTAGTTCTTCACTTTCTTTTTCTCTTCACAACTCCCACAGAATTTCCACAGTTGGCCCACGCAGCCTACCTTAGAGAGGTCATTTTTCACCTATGCCCAGGGCTGACACATCCTGAGAAGCCCCCAGAGAATGCTTGCTGCTGTGGTCCCAGATTATTTTGTGAGTCCGAGCAAGCATGACAAGGGGTGTTACTAAGTATGAGGCAGCTAGCAATTTGTGGTCTGGCTTGGGGATTATTTGAGGGTAGATGAGGGTTTTACTTGGCCAAGCTGTTGAGGAAGTGCCTCATGTGTTGAAAGGCAGGATGCTTTTTAATGATTCCTTTTCCACTGAATGTACAATTGACCCCTATTATAAGAAGGCTCATTATTACATGAATTTGGCTATGTAGGGAATGAAATCACTTCTATCATTCTTCTCAAATAGCCTGGCTCCTTAAGTAAAAGCCAGAGATAACCTGGTTAGCCCCAACATCATATAATAAGGAACATAGTATTTTTAAGTGCAATGGTTGCGTGATTTTTTTTTTTTTTCTGCCAGATTGCTCTGTCTTGGTTTTTGTTTCTTTTTATGCTCAGAGCAATATTGTTCTGAACTTCGTCTCAAAAATAACCTCCTCAGTCTGTACACATTGGCAGGGATGCTATGCAGAGCAGTGAAAAGAGAATTGGACTTGCAGATCTGAAACTTGAATTCTATTCCTTGCTCTGCCACTTGTTAGGCCTGGGACCCTAGGTCTATCACTTACCCTTTCTGGGCCTAGACGTCCCCATGTCTAAAATGAGATTCAACTTGGTGGTCTTTAAATGAGACGATGACAATCTGGTGGCCAGCTCTCCAGCCCTTTTATCCTATAAGGGGAGATAATGCTTGAAGACTGTGATACTTTTATTCAGTTGCATAGTGTTATTGTTTACAGTGTACTCCCACACTCCTTATTTCATTAGCTTCTTATAGCCAGCCACCCTGTGAGACATTCAAAGAAAGTTCTAGATAAACTGATGAAAAAACTGATGCTGCGATGCAGTCAGTAGTTTGTCTAAGTCTATCATACAGTGATCAGTGGTAGGTTCAAAGTCAATTGCATTTTTTTACCACTCAGAGTTGCTTGGTTCTTCTGGTAGTGCCACAGTTTGTGAAGGAACATGGATGGGGCAATTAACTTTTCAGTTCTGTATCCAGTCTTAGCAATTTCTTTCTTATCCCAGTGACCCTTTCCATGCCAACTTGTGGTTCAACTATAGGTGAAGACTGGGTAATTGTAGGTACTTTTAGATAGGATCTAGGCACAGACAGTAAGAAAAGACTATTTTGATGACCCTACATTATTTAGGATGATTTCAAGTCAGGCATAGAGAGAGATAAGGTATAAGAACTATGGTGGGAAAATGTTGGGAAATCCTTACTGGTGTTATGTATGGGGAAGAAACAGAAGCAATTTGTGTCTGGGATGATGCAGTGTACATGCTTGGAGATATCCTGTGGATCAACTGGAGACATTTGAGGTATGGGGGAATTTGAGATAAAGTGGGAGAATATGTCTAGCTCATATTTGTCAAGGGAGACCCTTTGGATCAGGAAAATAACCAGGTTGGGGAAATCATCAATTCCTGTGATTTCCCTGAATGTGGGGAATTTTGCTTCCCAATTTATGAGGACTATTATAGTCTCTTCTGGCAGTCAAGTGACAAAGAAAGAGGAAGTGTTTTTAAAAAGAAACTATTGATTATATCAAGTGTTAAGGGATGATTTATGATTTTACCATGCATTGTGGTAGTCTTAGTGAGATCATGAGAACAAGTGAAAAAAATATGATCAGTGAGAGAATTGGGTCTGTGATCTTGGTGTTAATTCCTTTGGCTAGAGTTTTATACTACCCCATTGACCCTAGAAGCTTGTCAGGATGAAATGGTTTTTTCCACTTTTTTACTACCAAGATAGAGATCTACTTTGGTAGTATAGAGGCTCATTGATGAAGTTGGCTCCCTGCATTGGAAAAGATCCTCTTTGGAGATGGGTGACCTTTCCAAGGATCTGGCACCAATGAGTCTATATCAAATAATAGGTTGCATACACTAAGTACTGGGCTGCTAACTTCAAGGTCGTTGGTTCAAACCCACCAGCCGCTCCTTGGAAATCCTAGACAGGGTAGCTATGAGTTGGAATGACTGGAAGGCACATAACAACAGCATCCTCCAGTGACGTGTGCGTCTGTGTGTCTGTGTGTGAGATAGAGTAAGGAGGGAAGGAGGTGAAAAGCAAGAGAGAACAAGAGAGAGACACACACATATATAGAAATACTGAACTGGAATGTGAGACTGCTATATTCATTTTGAGTTCTTAGAATTGTGCCTTTGAGATGACTGAGGGTGAAAACAAGAAAGGGTGACCAGTGTGGGGATGTGAAAAGAGGAGGAAGAAAATCAGGAGGGAGGACAGAATAGGGCAGATGTACACACTATGTATTTGTCCTTTTTCTGGTCCATTTTGGTGGGAGTTTCCATCTGGCAAAGTGAGGAAAATAGGGGATGGTTACTACCTTAAAAGGAATCCCCGGGTAGCACAGACAGTTAAATGCTTGACCACTGGTCAAAAGGTTGGTGGTGGTTCATGCCTACTCAAAGCTGCCTCCAGAGAAAGGTCTGATGATCTGCTTCCAAAATGTCGCAGCTTTGAAGACCCAGTGGAGCAGTTCTACTCTGAGCACGTGGGGTCATCATGAATTGGAATTGACTCTACAGCAACTAACAACGACTGCTGCCCTCGAGCAAAGTAGGGCAGGAGGTGGGCATTCTGGAGAAGAAAGAAGCTCCACACACTCTAAATGGTCCTACACTATGTTGCTATATTGTTTTACCCTCTCTATAGCTGAGCCCCTATTTGCAAAATTGGGGTTGGTGTTGTGTGCTATTAGGTCTGTTTCAACTTATCGAGACCTTATAGGACACAGTAGAACCTGCCCCATAGGGTTTCCTAGACTGTATTCTTTATGGGATCAGATTGCTAGGTCTTTTCTTATGTGAAACAGGTTCCAACTTGCTGTCTTTGGGTTAGCAACTGAATGCTTCAACCATTCTACCTCCAGGGTTCCTAGGTATACCTTGCTCCATC